ATATATATATACACATATGTTCACTAAGGTTATTCTATAGGTCTTATGAGATCTCTCTCGAGCGAGACAGAGACAGAGAGAGATCGAGAGTGAGAGTGAGAGAGACCGAAAAAACACCAGTATATTCTATACAGAAGATAAGATTAAACAGACAACCTTATATATATATATATTGTACTATAAACTAAGGTACTTCCGCAGGCTGACTACCCCCGGGCTGTTCCAGATCACCTTTACCTATTGGACGAACCCATCTTCGCTCCTATCGTCATCGACAGTGACAGTGCTGATAGTGCCAAGGCGCAGAACGCAACCTGTATCCGTCTCAAAGCATGATAGTACACGAGACCTGATTTATTGGGTGCTTATTCTTCATCGATAATCCTTTCAACGACACGATCTGACGCAGGCGATCACACCGCCGGGCTCCTCTGCCGCTACCCACACCGAGATCGCCCCGAAGTCGAAGGTTCCGAAAGCTAAGAAGGCAGGGGTTACATCGGGTACACCCTATACTAGAAGCCCTAAGCCCTCAAACCCTAATAAACCCTCAGCCCTAAACCCTAATTTGTTGCATAGTGAACCTGATTATAATAAAGCCTGATATCTCTCCTAATCCCAAGCCCTATCCACATATATATATATACCTTAACAGAAACACTCGGCCCAATATTGCAAAGTACTACTGGGCAGAGATATTGTGTGTGTGTGTGTGTGCCAGATCGAGGCATCTGCTAGAACGGAGAAAGACGACTTCGAGCTTCCAGAGCTCTCAGATGACGAAAAGAAGAAGTACAAAAATTTTTGGAACCGAATGAGATCCAAGAGCTTCGAGTAGCTTAAATGCAATATAAGTAGCCATGCCTTTCCTGATCAGTGTGCCTTCAAGAACAAATTGTTTGAAACGTCGCCTAGGTCTGTCGAGGATTCCAACACGACTGCTTCGGAGGACGTGCCTTGCAGATCTGACTTAAAAGTGCAACATAATCCAGCCCTGCTCCTTAATCACGAAGCCCGACATATCAGCAGCTTGTCTGCTTATGGAAGCACCTGCCCCACGTACCTTACCCTCTTCAACCAGGATTCGAAGCCCGAACTAGATCTATGTATGTTATGATAACTAGAGCCCATACCCTAATCCCTAACCCCCAAACCCCAAAAACCTAAGCCTACAGGCATCTAAACCCTAAACCCTAAAACCCTGATCCCTTGTACCATAAGCCATTCCAATTCTTGAATCCAGGAGCCTGCAGCGCCTGCTGCTACCATCCAGAAGCATCCTGCAGCAGAGGCTGCCACTTCCATCCAGAGCCCTCCTAAAGCTAGTGCTCCTGCAGCGGCTGCCGTTTCAACCCAGGACCCTGCTAAAGCGGCTGCTCTTTCAACCCAGGACCCTGCTAAAGCTGCTGCCCTTTCAACCCAGGGACCTGCTGAAGTGGCTGCTGTCGCGACAGCCGCGGCACCTGAGGCTCAGCCAGAGTCCGTCAGCCCCGAGATGGCAGCTTTGATTGAGAAGTTGGCCATTTCCATGGCCCAAGCTATGACTGCCCAAAATGCTCAGAGAACGGATTGGACACCCAGCCCACCTCCGCCAAAGGCGACTGAAGCACCAACCGTTAACAACGAGAGCCCAATCCCTGCTGCTATTGCCCCGGCCCCTGCCAAAGCTGAAGCCCCGGCCCCTGGCAAAGCTGAAACCCCGGCCCCTGCCAAAGCTGAAGGAGCCCCGCCCGCAAGGCCAGCCCTGCCTGCTGTGAACACAAGCCCTCCAAGCAGGATCAACAGCTCGACACACCCCGCAGAGTATAAGGAGTTCGGGAGGTTTTGTGAAACGAACCCTTCCGCTACAGAGCTGAAGGCGGCCTATGCGCCCGATACTGAGATAGATTTGTCTGAGTATGGATGTCAATCCTATAAACCCAAACCTTAAACCCTGAACCCTAAACCCTAAAGCCAATCAGGAAGGGCGGGGCTTTCAAGATGCAAGCCTTCGCGAAGTTTGTCCAAGCTGGCTGTGGCTTGTACAGAATATTGCTAGCCCCTGTATGAAACCATAAACCCTAAACACTATAAACCCTAAACCCTAAACCCAAACCCTTTCTTAAGCTAACTTTAGTACATAGCACCGTGGCCTAGCTATGTTAAGTTTTAACCGAGGTCAGGGTTTGGCTCTCGAGGCTGTTCTCCGCTTTTCGAAGCAGCAGGAGGAGATCCAGCAGGACGAAGGCTAGAATTGTCTATTCTGGGTTAAACTTTAAACCCTAACCGACTCCTCATCCGATACACCCTAAACCCTAAACCCTATACCCCTAAACCCTAATCTCCATATATATTCCGGAGGCCACTACTATCCGTACAGTGACATCCTCGAGTTCTTTCAGCAGAACCAGGCACGAGCGGATGAGTTCATCGCAATGAGGAGGTCCCAACCGAAGGGGTTTCTCGGCAGTCCCATATAGGTCCAGAAAACAACCCCGCAATATATATATATATATATATATATTCAGGACCTAGCCTACCTAAATCCCAACCCTAACCAACACCCCGAACCCCCAACCCTATACATAGATCTGCAATATTGGGATGAGAGTAGCACACGACACATGTTGCCCAGGGTCTCGACAGATCGGAACAATCCTCGAGTGGAGACTTTCCTTTATTACAATCGAGAACGCCGTGCCATCACGACACGCAGCTTGGAAACTAGACTTCATTAATTTGTGGAACATGTACACTGGAGCACCTTGCAAACTATATATATTAGGGTTCATGTTACTGCAGGACGAGATTGCAGTCTCGCTGGGTGCGAATGCAAACTTTGCTCTGCAGCTCATGGATCAGTTCAAGGGAAACGACCCCAACTCGAGTTCCGGTGATGTGCCACCTACCAGATCAACCTTACAGCATCCAGATACACCAGGACTGCCACCCTCTGTCGAGCCTAAGAAGGATGAGCAACCGAAAAAGAAAGCCAAGCCGGCCAAGAAGGAGGCCCCGCAAGCCCGTGTAATGTACTGGTCTTGTTCCCTGACTCTAATGCCCCCAGTAAACAATCTATCTCCTGTGCCAGGGCGCAGATCTGGAGGTGCAGCTGTTGGACGGCACCGACATGAAGTCCTTCGCCTCTGCTTGGGTCACGGCATGCACAGCGGCCGAGGGGAAGGCCATCACTCTGTCGGCCGAGCTACATCACCGCAAAAGCTTTAGGTTTTTGTCCCTCGATGTATCCCGACTTTAGTACAATATTATTCTATATGTCATGTTACTTATTTGAGGCTCGAGGCCCTGGAGTCGCAAGAGAAACTGATTGAGATGATCGGGGATGCCAAGTGCGGCATGGCCGAGAAGAGGAAGGCCCTGCAGAGCCTCGGGACCGATCCGCGAAAGGATGATGTCCAGACCATCCTGGACCAGGCCCAACCTTAAATACCATGTACTATCCCCTAACGAAAGCTATTATCCTATACATATATATATATATATACAACTTTCCCCTCGAGGCAGCATCCTATGTCATCGCTTACAAGAAGCACGTGAAGGTGGCGACCAACCTGTATCTTGGATCATAATTGCTGAGCTTTCGGGTTATTCATTCGTTTAAGCCTAGAAACTAAACCCAAACCCGACAAAGCCTAAGTTAAGCCCAAGCGAAGCTTAAACCCGAATTCCTCATCTCCACCCCAAAACGCCCTTATATACGTATCGATGCCTGGAAACCCACAGCTGTAGAGTTGAAACTTCATTCCAACTTAATTCTTGTTCTTGAGACTCGATGCATTAACCCTTAACTAAATGGCCTGGAGAAACAGAGATTGGCAAACCACGACCCTCCCCCAGACCCTAAACCCAAAGCTTTCATGCCCAAACCCCAAGTGGTGTTTTGCTTGAATGAACAAAATGAACTCCTGTTCTAAAGCCACTCTGCTTTCCAGACTAAAATCTGAAGCGCCGTGAGACCCCCTAATCTAAGGCCTAAAGCCTCAAACGCTCCAAAGTCTTACCCCTGTGCCATAATTCCAGGTTTAGGGTTTAGGGTTTAGCCACCAACGAATTAAAGGGATATTGGGGTGCTTGCCTTATAAGAACTGATTAATGCAGCTTGTTCCCATCCCGTGGATTTTTAGATGAAGTTTAGGGTTCTATCGGGTTTGGGAGTATGATCGATAGGATGCCGTCCGAGGATCAACCAGCACAAGAAGGAGAGCCAGCCGAAGAAGAAGGCGAAGCCGGCAGAGCCGACTCCAGCCGAGTGAGCTAGACGGCTTTATGTTTAAGTTTTGGGGGCGGCCTCACCTCTTAGAGTCTTGGTGCACAAGCTACATACTAGCTAGCGAGGATGTCAATGCATGAAGGCCTGGGGTGGGGCCAATCATGTTCTGCAGAATATGCGAGGGACATGATGTCGTGTGGTACGCATGCAGCTATGTTCGGGCTCCTGGAGATTCCTGGGGCAGATCAACATAGCAGCGGGGGCAATTTCAATCCGTAGATCACGACTTTCGTGCATCATCGTGAGATTGCTCTCATCAAAAGCCTTGAAGATGCACATGTGGGTTGTTAACAACAATCGTTTTGCATGTATTCAGACTTCCTGCCTTGAAGCTGGCTGCTGCAACATGTTGAGACGGCAAGTCGCAGTCTGGGCCAATGCAGACCGAGTCCTATAGACTCCGATAGAATCACCATCCGTTCAACCCATGATCAAAGTAACCCGAAACCTTAAGCCTACACCTAATCCTAAACCCTTGACCTAAAACCCTTAACCCTACACCCAAAACCCTTAACCCTATAAAACCTACCCTAAACCCGACACCCTTAACCCCAAACCCAAAAGCCTCAACACTAAACCCAAAACCCTTATCCCAAAACCCATGACCCTAAATCCGACTATCTATATACCCTTAACCCAAAACCCTTATCCCAAAACCCATGACCCTAAATCCGACTATCTATATACCCTTAACCCAAAACCCTCAACCCAAAACCCTTAACCCTAAATCCTACCCTATGCCCGAATCACATTTAAAACCAAGCATCTATATAATAAACACCCCAAAACCTTCAAGCAACCTATGCAAAGAGGAACTTTACTCGATGTTGAAACATGCTTTGCGGCTGGCAAAACAGAGAGATGTTACGCGCGGGACTTCGGAAGGACAGGCTACACCTTATCCTGTCAGGTCCAGTTCTTTCTCTTTCACACAATCACCTTTGACTCGTGTCCTTTCTGGTCATGTTGGAAGAGGGCACGCAGCCCAAAACATGCAAAGAGTTGCTGCAGCAGCTGTAAGTGAGTCTGGGATTCACAATGTTACACCAAGTTTCCTGGATGCATTGTTTTAGGGTGTTCAACTCAGGTTTGGAATTCCTGCACTAGTATGAGCTGAGTCGAAATCTTCAAACCCGCGACATACTCCATCTGAGGCACAGCATTTTTGTCTGGTATGGGAAAGGCTGGACAACGACCCGACCACATCGAAGAGACTTTGCATCGAGCTGCCAGGTCGGCTTCGGATGTGGCTCGTTTGCAGCTGTGAGGATATCAAAACCTTAGTGTGTGTGTTGCTGTGCACGTAGTCCGTGTCGATGCATGTCTGTTTAGTGATGCATGTCTGTTAAGTGTGAAGGACAACAGCTGAATTAATTTTGGCCCACAGATCTAAGGCGACTCTGAGGGTATCGTATACCAACATATCTGTTGTGCTGAGAGATCCGGTGGTGCAAAAACGTGCTCGAAACCGGAGCGCTTCGGTCAAAAGGAGAAACATTTTGGCTGTGGCTGCAGGGAGAAGACGTCTGAAGGGCCCGGCCAAAAAGAGCAAGTTTGCTGCACTTCCGCCATCGCGATTTCAGCTGTGGCCCGCCCTTATGCCTTTTGATGTATGCAAAGCCATACAGGCTGCGGGTTTGGTAGACGAGCTGTGCCTGGACTGTATGGAAGGTGTTGATTTCGAGTGTACTTGTGAAATTTGCGGTTTGATGTGCAAACGACCTTAGGTTATGTGGCTCTGTCGATTGGGCAGACTTTTGGAAGCAAGCTGCTTCCGAAGACTGGGGAATGTGGCCTGTGCAAGACATTTTGTTTGTCATTCATTTGTACATGCTGCTAATATTAAGGTGGGTTCGAAGCCACAACTGCTAAAGGGTTTGGGTTCCCTTAAAGAAGTTCGTCCCTGCATGCCCTCTTTCTAGGAACCACCCGGTGCAAAGCTTTGACGATGTCGCCCGCAGCCGGGCATTTGGTGTAACGATGCATGGAGACGAGGGGCAGACGAAGCGCACACGCAATGTGTTGATCATAAATTGGTCTCCACTGGGAAACTCAGGAGATCCATTCACTACAAAGTTTCCTTTTGTCGTCCCTCGTCAGCTATATGGCAGCAAACACTTTACTTTGGGTTCTTAGTTATGACTTAGATTTGAAAACATTCACCCCAAACCCTGAACCCAAAACCGTAACCTATTCATCTATCTATCTATGTATTTAACTATCTATCTATCTATCTATCTATCTATCTATCTGATCTATCTAT